AAGTATTTCGATCTCTTGGTGATCGAAATACTTGTCGAAATGTTAAAAATAACGATTTGGTGTTGGGAAAAACACCAGTAATATTCATTACTACACCAAAGGTTTCAAACAATGCATCACAAGGGTATTGTAGTTCTGATGTATGAGAAATGTTCTTATGATTGGTTTACCGAATCAATCTTACTCTTATTCACAGCATATTTATAGCCATGGCTGTATTCTTTCCCGATAGTTCCGATGACCATATCTGTCGAATATTGTGCTGATACTTTCCAGGAAGTGATGTCTTCATTGCTGTTACCTCTTGTGGAAGGTGTTGTTCCACTTCGAGGTATATACGTCCCGCCGGCATTTAAATAGTGCAGGATGCTTCCATCTACGAGCTGCACATCCTCTCCGTATTGCCCGCATGGTCCTCGTTTGGGATGGACCGTTGCACATTTGTCTATTCTGAATTTCATATCGATAGCACGCGTGTACTCTTCCATCAAGCTTATGGACTGATGGAGATCGTTTTCTCCAGAGGCATAAAGTTCAAGATTTTCCATATAAAATAAATGGGTGATATTATACCACCGGTTTTCGTGGGTGCCAGAGTTATAACCTCAAGTATTTCCAAGCGCAATGAATGATGGCAATAGTGAGATGCAGAAAAGAAGGGGACTGAAAGTGACCCACCCTGGTTACATTCTAGTCATATTTTACATTGACGGGAGTCCATCCGAGTGGCATCAGTTGTTGAGGATCTCAATATTTTGCCGGATACCGCCAGGCATCTGAGCAAAGGAAAGATGAGCTTTCACGATGTTGTATCAAATGCCTTGGTTGTCGATCTAAGTCATAAAGAGGTTAACTTTATACGTAAACGTTACACATCTATCGATGAGCAGATTCTCTCCACATCCAACGACTTCTTTCTTCGACCCTCTCTGCTCATAAATTCATTCGATTACTCGATCAAAGGCATGAGAGTAGTCATATACATACGATGTTCGTGAACAACAAATAACACGAATTTAAACATATTATTGGTGTGTAATCCTTAGGAATCGACAAATCTCCGCTTTTGGGGATGAGAACAGCCCGCCCCTCGATCAACCAATTCGAAATTGGCTGCTCCCCATCCAGTAATAAGTTGATAAACACTGGCCAGACGGCGGTGAGTGCTTGATAGTTTTCATCCACAAATAATTGTTCAGCCCATCCGGGCCTGGTTCAGCAAAATTCTTGTAATATACAAGGGCTCTTCAAACGTCATCCGGGGTTATCGGGTTGCGCAGTTCATTGAGCTCAGAAAGCCGAAGTTCTCTGCTGAAAGCTTTGCTGCGATAGAGCTGGAGTGTCAAAGTGAGTGTCTGCGGGTGTTCATGAATGTCCTTCCAAAAGGATTTCAACTGAATATCAGCGGTCGGCGGATTATCCATAACATGCAGAGACTCTTGGAATAAGCCGCTGAGTACTGTCATCAGATGTCTCAAAATATTGAAAAGTACCCATGTCGATTTTTATTACACCATAATTCCTTCATGAACAAAAACATAGATTATGAATATGATTATTTTTAATTATGTCAATATTCAGTAATTATATCGTATGTTCTTTCGCGTACACATGCTTTTATTAGGTTGTTTATGCTATATTTGTATTCATGAAATTGGGTTATTGACATGTTCTATTCCATCATGTTCGAAAATGTATATTTTTTCATATTTCATCATTAAAACTATTTTCACATGAGCTGAAGGAGTTACTCTTTGTCATAACTTTATTTTTACCTTCTCATAAACTATAATTTCATGATTTTCATTTTGGAAGTGTTATTCCTCAATAAACAATTTCTATAAGTATTTTGGAATTTTGTTACTCAACAATCAATCATATCCAGACATTATAATACTTCTTATTCTCCATTGATACTTAATAATGTTTTTCCATCATGAGCATACCATTTGAAAATTAGAGCACTAATTTTGTATTCAATAACCCGCTTTCTTCTTGTGCAAAAATCAAAAGTGGAAACTATCGATCCGTCATGAGCATACCATTTCAAAATTAGAGCACTAATTTTGTATTCAATAACCCGCTTTCTTCTTGTGCAAAAATCAAAAGTGGAAACTATCGAAGAGAGATACATACGTAAAAAAAATATTTCGAAATATTAATCTCCCTCAACTACCTACACAATAGGCTCTGGTAAACGATGGTCTGAAAACAAGTACTTTCCCGGCTAATACCACGCTGGATATTGAATTATATCCGACAGATATTCAGACAAGATACCTCACAGAGGCAAGCCTCGCAGATGTTCTCGTTCAATCAGCAGCAGGACCACGCTGAAAATTTTCAAGTAGATCCCCAGCAGATCTCGGTTTCGAGGTATCACCTCTCGTCTCTACAGGAAAGATCCTACACAGACAGCAAAAGCCATGGAATGTTTCTACCCTCTGCTTGGGGCTTTGTTCACGAGATGGAGTTGTACTAGTTAACAATCTTTCTCTCACACGAAGATTTCATATATGTAGCGGAGCCGTGTAGACAATAATCGAGCTCCAGGCACTTTGCTGTGTGGGAAGGATTTTTTCTGTACTGACGAGAGGTAATACCTCGAATATGCCGTCTGCAATGTTCGGCAGGTTATGGTTATATTGGGATTACATCAATAATTTTGAACATATTATTCGAAGATTAAGTAACTGTTGCCTCAGTTTTTTGAGGTAACTTGCTATATGAAGAATAATTTGATATTACTATTTCACTTCTCAGTTGAAATTTGATAAAATGAAACATGCGGGTTTTTATTATTAGATCTATTATTTGTACAGAAAGCAACAATATTTTGCAGTTGGTGATAATGAACATCACCGTATTAGGCTACACCTTTTGATTATCTTTATTTTTATTCATATAAACTCAAGTTCTAAACTGATTCTGAATATTTTGATAACATTCCTATCATGTTAAGATAATTAATGAATTATAATAGTAATGAAACAGTTTTGAGAACAAAGTTTTATTTAAATGCTCTAGACTAGAAAGAAGACAATATATTTTGATATCCAACTGGCATTATGTTTCATCTCAGCTTAACGTCGCAGATGAAGTTACAAAGTGGACCAAGCCTCCATCATTGAAAGCGACAAACATATGGTTTGTAGAACCGGAGTTTCTCTATTGTAAATAACAAATGTGGCCGATGGAGGAGCCTGATGAAGAACAATATGCTCAATATACTGTGGCCATTCATGAAACACGAAAACCCCCTTTATAACAGGAATTTCAGTCGTTATAATAAATTATTATGCACAGTAAGGATTACCTTCACTATACACTCGGAAGAACTCAAAGAAACTGAAAATACGCTTGTGCGATTTGTTTAAAATGAGTTTTATCATGAAGAAATAGAAACATTGAAGAATTCATCTACTGGTAACCCCTTGATAAAAAAACACTGGTTTACGCAAAGGAGTTTGTTGGCTCAGATAAAGTTAATGCGTGATTTGAACTTTTTGAACACAAATGTGGTTAACCACAATTACGAACTGTCAACAGTATTCAATGAATGTTTTATTCAAAACGTATGCCTCAGCTCTTTCGGAGGTATTCATGCTGGCAAAGGCATGCATCATATCCGATCCAATTTACTGGAGGTATACAGTACGGACGTAAAAGTCGCCCCTCCCTTAAATTTTGAAGGGTTGAGACGAATACTCTTGTGGAGGATATATTGGATGGAAGGTCTATCAATCCGGTAGTGAAAAAGGAAATTTCAGACTTGTTTGTCACAGAATTACTTCAAATTCAATGAAGTTTTTTATTCATCCTGCAAAGGTCTCATAATGAAAAACCCACTTAGTCCCATTCTGGCAAAGATTTTCATGGACGATTTAGAGAAAAATGCATAGTAACCAACTGGTAAGAAGTTTTGTGTTTTGGTATAGATATGTGGATGATATCCTGGTATGTTTCACAGAAACGAACAGACAGTTGACTAAGTTTTTGTTTCATCGGTTCTCTCCATCCTTCTATCACATTCACCATGGAGATGAAAAATACGACTCTATATATTTTCTGGACTTGACAATAACAAAAGTTAACAACAAACATCATTTTTCAATTTATCGTTAACCAGCACATACATATATTATCAGCACATAGTAGCAGCATTCAACATTATCAGTCAGAGACGAATTTCAACAAAGAACAGAACATAATGAAACAAATAGTCATTAACAATGATTACGTTTGTAGTCTAATAGATTCCTCATTATCAAAAAAGTTCTACAGAAAAGCTTTGAAGAAAGTTTAATCAATTCGAAAAGAAGAGGATGAAAGGTATAGAACCTTAACCTACTTAGGATAATCCACTACAAATATTTTAGATTTTCTGCACAACAAAGGTGTAAATATTGCTTTCAAAACCAACAACAACTTAGGAATGCACATTAAGAATGACAAAGATAAAAGTTCAGTTTCAGAAAAATCTGGAGTGTATAAATTATCATATGGGTCATGTCCGATGTTTTATACTGGAAGAATGTTCAAAGCCCACATAAAAGAATACAAATATAGTTTTCAGAATGGAAAAATATATTGAATAAATACTTTTGAGAGTAATGATATAAACTCAATACTCATTTCCCACTTTGCTGATGACAATGTGAACTGAAATTCAGAACACTTGGAAGCTGCGTTTGGTAAAACCATTGTTGATGACAGAAATAACCCCACTATAGGGATAAAAAAAAGAATTTAACAGATGATGCTAATCAGGTGACTACCGTTTTTCTAGTTTATCTACATCGCGACCAATAAAGAAATTGATCCCAGAATGAAATTTTGAATTCGGCAATTGATAGAAAAAATCCCGCACAGTGCGGAATATATGTGAATTTCTCAATATCTATCGATGAGTAAGAAACCGCAAAAAATGGTTTCCGAAGTTATTCTTGGAGTCGGAAACCGGCTCACGCAGTTAAAACAATCGAATGAATCAGCCAACACGTGCTTTAAATTCCCCCAATTCTCCTCATCATTCGAAGAACAACTCTAAAACCCTGGATCGTTCGTTGATTGGACATTTTTCCAGGACAGATTAGATTTGACGATATCTCGTTAAGACAGGATTAAATCATTCAAGTAAAATGCGCGCTCCTGCCTGCCATAAAAGATATCAAGTGCACGCGAAACATTTCAGTTAAATAACAAACAAGGTTCCGACACCACCTCGGCTTCGACATCCAAACTGAACGCAAGTCAAATATCAGTTTTTCACAGTACCGGACAAAAATGCTCGCTCGCTAAAAACCCTCAAAATGGAAGGCCGTTTCACAAAAAGTGAAAACGGTGGAGGTGTTGATAACATCGGCTTTCAGTTGCAAGAAAGTGGGGACCTGAACGGACAACGTGTTACAAACGGTAATCCGGTATTGAATACGAGTTTGAATAATCAAGGCCCAAGGAGAAAGAAATCTTTTGTGCAATTGACTAGAGAGGCTTTGCCAAGACTCGAGAACTATAGGAATTCCAGGAAGGCTGTGAAAAGACCGAGTTTGGGAGAGCTATATGAGGGTACCGAATTTGATAAGGTGAGTCGGTATTTTGTTGTTTGCGGAATTATTTTTTATGGTGATGGTAGGTTTATTGTTTTTTTTTTAAGAAAACAAGGTTTTCTCACATTGTACAAGATTTTCATAAAAATAAATATATTTTTTTTCAAGAACACACTGAATCATGGGAATTTTTGAACAAAAATACTTTGGACAGTGCACTGGTCCTCGGCCATTCAATGAAGAAGACTTCAAACTAAAATTTGTCTATGTAAAAAAAGATGAGTTCAAAAATTGCCTACAACAACCTGAAAAATGATTTTTCTCATACCATTTCCAGCAAGAAAAACGTGAGTGGGCTACAGTTGGTTAACGGAAAAACAGATTTTTTTTTTCGAAACATTATCGCGATTTATAATCATTCCCAAAAAGTGACGTAGTGTAACCTTGTTCTTTCACAATGAAATTATTAATACAAAAAAAGAATCACTAGCCGTTGAACCCTAATTATCCAGTAATTGAAGTAATTACTCTGCAATTCAAAAACCACATCAGATATCATTCATGCTGTCTCTGATTCTCACAAAATACAGTCATTTTGAATCTACTTTTGAATCAATCAAAAAGTGACTATTTCAAAAATATGATTAAAGAAAGTGACAACAAATCAAGAACCACCTGGAATGTGATAAATACCCTTAACAACAAGGCAGAAAATAGCAACACTGTTTTACCTAATACTTATGGGGACGGAGTGAATCTAGAGAATTGTTTTAATGTCCATTTTGTAAACTCTGCACCAGCTATCGAGAGTTTTTTTTATCCAGTGAGTGAAGAAGAAATAATCCAATCCAGCTATAAACTCAAAAATAAAATGAGCAGTGGTATAGACAATGTGCCATCATAAATTCTGAAAATGATGCCTAGTATCTGGTACCTATCCAGATCAAATGAAACTGGCCGTAGTTATCCCCATATATAAAAAAGGTGAACAAAATGACATGAATAATTACAGACCAATAAGTTTGTTAACACCTTTCTCCAAACTATCTGAAGTTATTATATCAATAAGAATTATGATTTTTTTTTGGCACATGGTTTGTGCAATGATTTCCAACATGGTTTTCTTAAAGGGAAAAGTACCGAAACAGCCTTGTGCAAATTCGTGGATGAAATTCAATATTCAATTGAACAAAACTCTTGTACCTGTGGTGTCTTCCTGGAAAGCGTTTGACTGTGTTGATCATTCCATTTTGCTTCGAAAGCTTTTCAATTACGGAATGAGAGGAAATGCCTTGGATCTCTTGAAATCGTATTTGAGTAACAGGAAACAAAAAGTACATAGTAGGCAACGAAATAATGAATTTTTCTCAGACTTCACTGAAATAGAAAAAGGCGTACCACAGGGAAGTGTACTTGGACAAATAGCATTTCTATAGCATCCACATATTTCAATACTAACAAGTTTTTGTTAAACACATCTAAAACAGACTGCATTTTGTTTAAAACTGTTCACATGAATATTTCTATTCCGGAGTATTTTCAGCTCAGTAGTGAAAGACTAGATATTTTAACGAGTACAAAACTGTTAGGAATTTATATAGATGATAAACTGAATTATGAGGTACATATTGACTATCTTGCAAAAAACTAGCAAATAAGTGTTTATGCAATTCGAGTGTTAAGACGTCACTTGAAAATCGATGCACTGAAAACGGCATATTATGGGACTGTTTATCCTTTGCTGAAATATGGAATATCAGTATGGGGAGGGAGTACACAACTGGAACGTATGTTCATAATGCAGAAACGTATATTGAAAACAATGTTCGATATAAATTTCACTAGTTCGGACTTCCATTGTCTACTATATAAAATGATTTGAAATCCCTGAAACAAGTAAAAAAGAATAATTTAAAAAGAATAGTTGTTACTCTGCAATTCAAAAACCACATCAGATATCATTCATGCTGTCTCTGATTCTCACAAAATACAGTCATTTTGAATATAAGTAATGACTAGTCTAGGTTATTTCACAAATGGTAATCACAAAACTAGTGAAGAAGCAGAATTTTCATTCGGCTTCGAACATTTTATTCTGAACATTTTATGTAATGGCTGCAAGGATCTTGTATTTCATAACTTTCCAAAATAGTTCGAATTCAAACGATTTTCTTTTAACATGCGGCATTGCCTACTGCTTTATTTTATATATTTTAGACGGTAGACCTCATAACGTAACGTATTTCATGCGTCTAATCTGAAAACAATCATAAAATACTAACTATTTCTGAGATTGATCCCCTAAGCATATCAACAATTCACGCTAAAGTATTATTTCATTTTGTGGACTAACAAGATTTGAGCTCTTTTTACTCATTATACAATCGGGGAATATCAAAAAATGGAAAAAGAAAATGTTATTGTATTCGAAGTGTACGATGACGATGTGATAATAAATATTCGATAAAACGTTTCGTGTTCACATGGCCACCATCAACTTTTTTTTTTAAATACGGATCTGTCTTTTCTATTACAGATATTGATAAAGCAATAAATTCACAATCCAAAGGTTTATCACATTTGATATTTTAATAGCGTTTAATTTGAAGTTGCTACCATCATCAGTGACAACAACTTTGAATTACGGTCCTGTCGTTACTTCTTTTGTAAATTGTTTCGATTTCTTCAGAATATAATTAAAACAACCCAATAAATTCAACAGGTAGGTACCCTAACACAATGAAAATTCGTACTTTTTCGTTTTGAACATTTTTGTATAGCTGTAATCCTTCTTTCAAGGCTTATTTCTCCATAATCATAATAATTCGTAATATTTTCATAATTCTCAATCCTGGTAGTAACAAAAATATCAGTTTTTCTATTACAGGAAAAATGAATCCTTTGTTGATATCTGTTGAGAACTGTCAGACGTTTATGAACATATCAAAGATGTATTCAAATGATAAAAGGACTGATATGCTATTTAGTTATGCAAAATCAATTAGAAATCCTCTTTTGGCAAAGAATATGCATATTGAGCTATACCCGAATCGTCATATTCCGAACATTCAAATGTTTTAGAAGATTTGAAATGAATTTGAAGGACTATGGTGCATTTGACAGAAAGAAAACAAGAACATGTGAGGTTACTGGAAGTATGAGAAATCAAATGAATGTTAGTTTTTTTTTGTTTGGGAATACATAAAGGATAGAGTTTTTTCAACATGTACAGATATCGACTATTTCAAACAAAAAACAAGAGATGCATGTATTAGTATTACACCTTTTATGTTAGAAAATTGCCACAGAAATTGTATGGACCGACACCTTATGTGCATTCAACAAAGAGGTCGTCAATTCGAGCATTATTAATGTAAATTGCCATGTAGCTTTGATTTTCCGTATTGGTTTCATTTTTCCCAAAAGTTCTGTTTGATTGTTGTTACTGATGATGGTGCTTATTTCAAATGAAACGCTTTAAAAATGTCGAATGTGATATACCCTTGGATTGTGAATTCATTGCTTTATCAATATCTGTAATAAAAAAGACAGGTCCGTATTAAAAAAAAAGTTGAAGGTGGTCATGTTGACACGAAACGTTTTATCGAATATTTATTATTACATCGTCATAGTACACTTCGAATACAATAAAAAAAAATCCATTTTTTTACCTATATTCTCCGAAATAACAATTCCATTCGAAAAAAAAACGAAAAACAGCGAGAGTCCCCGTAAATATTATTATTATTATCCTTTATTCCAACTGCCACATAATCTCATCTTCATCACGCGTGTCACACCGGTTTTTCGTATGAAAGTTTCAATTTTGCGCTAACTCCCGAAGTATTAATTTTTACTATCGGGTGTGAAAGGCAATTATAATTGTACACGAAACGTTCCATTGAAATAAGGTAATTTTTCGAAAAGGAATAATACCACATCATATGTGACCATTACTTTGAATATTCAAATGTGTTTAGTAAACTATCCTTCAACAAAATACTTTTGCCATCGCGGCAGATGTTTTTGTAATCATATAAGTAATGAATTATATCTCAAAGTTATTAGCAGTGTTTTTGATGAAAGCTCCCCGATAGCACCACCGCCCTGACATGTCACACAATTCTCACAATGTTTTTAAATCATTCAAATAAATCTATCTTTTGAATCACTCCATTCAGTGGTGAAAGCCGTATAAAAATCTGTTCGGTAGTTTATTGTGAAATACGTGTTGAGGTTTTGTGAAATATTCTGGGAAAATATCACGATGTAGGTAGTTTAGTTTGAATACATTCATGTGGACTAAGTATACGGTGACACAATATTTTTTGTGGTGTTTCTTCAGAATATGTCTCTATAACAGGTTTTATCACTACCTTCCGAACTTGATTCTTGAAATAGCAAACAAATATTTCCGCTCAACTGAACTACAATTCAGTTGTCGTCATGTATTTCGACCCAAATCTGTTACACAACAAATAGTCTCAAAATATTTAAGGGCAAATAATTCAATGTTCATTTGGCCATGAATACCAGGCCTTCTCAAAAGTAAAACTGAACTAGACCATTCGCTGCATGACTTCATCTATTTCCCAGTTCTTCAATCTCGTAACACCGAGTTATTTGACTCGAGAATAATAAAAAATAACTATTTGTAATGGATATCTGTTCGCAAGGGCATATTGAAACATTAACAGGGTATCTCAGTCAAAAAATCAAAACTCCGCTCTACTTTGCCATAAATGTGTCGAATTCACTAGATATAAAATTTTATCAGCTAGTTGAACGTGTCAATTGGAGTTGATTCATTCACTTCATTTTACAGTATAATTTCTTTCCGATAAAGCCTGGGGATTTTAAAGAAATGTGCAGTATGGAAATAGCTGATTCATTGACTTGACACTCGTTTCCTAACGTCATAGATATTGATTCGTCAAATATCATTACGTCATATAAGAAATTCCCAAAAACATGTGAACACTAATGCCTTTATCTCTCGTGAAATTCAATGTTTATGTGATCCTTATAGAAAGTTT